GTTATTCATTATGTTTTGTATTTTATGTCTATACTCTTAAGAAACTAAAAGAGTAAAATGACAGATAATGTTGTCACAACAAATAATCAAACGATTTCATTCATTGTTAATTTAAGGTAGTTTGTACAGACGTTCTCGCCACTCAGCTTCAAATTTAACAACATAAACCCAAAAAGCGTTCACTTCAGCCAAACTCGTGATAAAAATTCAGTTAAATTGTAACCCTTAACGGTTGACCAAGTAATCTACGTAGAAACATTACTAAACTTCCCAATCAGTAGTATAATTTGTCGTATAGAATCAAATTAGTTCATCTCGAATAATTTGATAATTTCTAATTTGTTCGTCTAATGAAGTGGCCTAACTCTCTTAAATTTTTTTTCGTCTTTCTCTTTTCTTTTAGCCCTTCGATCTCTTAACTTATTTTGTATCGCCTGTTGGAAGTTTTTCCTGAAGACTTCAGCCTATTGGTCTTGATTTATGTATAGGAGATAATGCCCTGGACGGCGAACCTTCTATGTTGTCCCCTTTTTGAATTGAAGAAATCTCTCTTTTTACTAAATTCTTCCTTTAAATAAGGCAAGTTTAATAAGATACCCAATGTCTTAAATAAGAAAAAACATGAATAAAAACATTACTTTACGCTCTTTAGTTCATTATATATAATTCTCATATATAGTAATACTTTACAATCTGTTTTGCCTATTTTCAAATCAAATATTTATGAGGAATATATTTTTATTTACGTAGTTACAAACATTAATTCATCCAAAATATACTTGCACTACAGTATACCTTTATAAATTAAAATATTAACTTAACTTAAGTTCCTTTCGATAAGTAAAATTAAACATAGATATTTATATTATTCATACGAAGCAATGGTTTCGGAAGTAACATACAAGATAATTTGTACACGACTTGATTTTCGTCCCATGGCGTATACAACTTCGAGTATAAAGTTTTACAAGACGGTCTCCTACAGAGGTTTTTATGTATATATCAATTTGCCATGGTAGATTATAAACATTAACAGTATTTGGAATCACTATAATAGGTATTCCCATCCTTTATGCAATTTTCTTACTGTGGTTGAAGGTGGATCCATTCTCTTCTCTTACTTCATATGATAATAAACTACATCTTACTACTGTATTGCGATGAATTATGAGTAAAATTGAAAGGTATCACCTATAAAATATATTTAAAAAAACCAGCAGCTATTGTTCAGAATCCATATCACACAACACCTATAGGTAGAGTTGAGCATTCCCACTTACAAAAACTCCTAACATTACAACATACGCGTTAAAATAGTTTCATGATGGTAGGTGCATGCTAATCTCCAATTAAAAAAAAAAAAATTAACCATTTCTTACAAAGACCATCTTCTTGGAAACGATATATTCTGTCGTACAATCCACATTTTTTGCAATAAAACAACAATTGTTCCATCAATGTGGAAGGCATGCACCTTATAATTCAATGTTGGAATGAATGTAGATACAACCACAGTCTTACATAACAACATTTGCGAGGGACAGTAAAAGTACTATCTGATATTTCTCTGTTGCTCAGACCATTTGTTTTTTTCTTTACTGCTCTTCGTTGATACTCTGTAAAAAAATACAGCTAATACGTCAATTATCAAAGATAAATACTTTATCTATCTGTCAAGTTGCTTCATTTCATCGATGAACATAAATAAGGTAAACAATGAAATGCTATTTAATATGACTTCATGCGTTATAAATTATACTCAAAATTTTGATGTTTGACTTTATAATTTTCGTTATAGGTGTTGGAGATCACCATACGTCTGAACTAGCTTCACAGGTTTTGGAAAGTTTCTTCAAATTCTACTGTCATGCACTTCATTCATACGTAGCCACCTATATTACTCTCAACAAAATTCATCTATTTATTTTTAATTTTACTCCTTTTGTATTTGATCGCTAATTCTAATTTGCAATATACATATTTTTATTATCTCTGTACACTCTTCTTTTCTTATAATTTATCCGCGCATCGCGCGGGTACTATACTAGTTTATCTAAAAGAGAAAAAAACAAAGGAAAAAGGAGAACAAAAGGAAAGATCACATCAAACGGCAGTTGCGTGAGTCAATAATTAATAAGAAATGTTTGAATTTCTAATTTGGCTTCTTTAGTTGGATATTCGCATATTTACTCTTGGATTCAATTTCACTACTCCATTTGTTTAACCATTTATTATCTAAAAATGGGGTTGTTGTTAGTTGTTACCATCATTACCAATATTTTATTATAACCAATTAAGTCCATCAAGGTTCCCGGAGAATATTGAATATTTAATTACGTAACACATGTCTACTTGAGCACACTGTTATACATAGTAATAATCCTGTTTTAGTATATACTTATATGTCATATTTGAGTGATCCAATGCTGTTTTAATTTTGTTCAGCTGATAAATTAGAATCGGTATTGGCAGGATTTATAAGTTGATCAATCCAACTATATTCTGTGAAGAAAATACACGTATACTTGCAGTCATCAGACAATATTTAAAATCTTATTAATCTATTTTTGCATTACTACTATCTGTTTTCTCTTTAAATCTTGTCGCAGACAAGACTGGACCGTGCAGCTTTTAACTTTATATGTAGTTATTAGTACATTGAATTCGGACTGTTTTAATTTAACTCGTAACTATTCTTACTATACTTTGAAAACAGCTTAATTATAAGAACACAAAACATGCATTAATTAAGATATGCATTGTAATTTTGATATATTTCCATGTTATCTTTAGCCACAAAAAATATTAGGAAATGCAAGCAGACTACGTAATTTCTTCGTGTCAATCGACACCCCTTCACGGCTTCGCCGGAGATAGATTTTCTATTTTATGTATATTTATTATAGATTGATTCCCCTAAACTTTTTAGTATATTTATTTTTTAATATTTTAACATCTCTTAGTGAAAATTCTAGTTCCACCACAGCTAACGAGTAGTATATATAAGTTTAAAAGCATGAAAGTGAAGTTGCAAATATGGATTCAACAAGCTACGATGGAGGATTTGCGTTATAAACTTATAGAACAACAAAGACAAAAAATGCAGCATTTGCGTTGTCAAGATTTAGGTATTATAAATACTAATTAATATAGCTAGAATATGTACAATTTTTCTTTCTAAAATTCCATAGTGGTGAAACCTGTTATTGCATGATCTCTACTAATTAACAGCAACCTCCTAAACTACCACGTACTAACTACACCAACCGAGAAAGCGGTGGTTTCTGCATTCCTCCGCCGTCTACAGCCGTCCCACAACCTAACTACGCTGCCGTCAATAACCCTCATGTCCTGGTAAGAGTACCACCCCATTTCTCCTTTCCTCATTTTCAACACTCTCTCCCAATTTTCAAACCACTCCTTACTCAACTCTTCCTCCTCCCGATCACCGTTTACGATATCGCCGTCACATTCTCCACCGTCAATATCTTGCTTAAAATACACCGTTAGTTTCCCTTTTGTTCCTTCTTCTTTGATCAAAGAAACAACAGGAAACATCATAGTAGTAGCTGTTGAAGAGGTTTTTTCTGATATTATTGCCTGCTGAGTTGACTCCCTTTCTACCTGCGATGACGGTGACGACATAGACGACGTTGTCGTCGGCGGAGATGGAGATGGGGCACGGCCAGAAAAGTCTGCACGTGGCTCCGGTGCAGGTAACGTTGAAGATGCTTTGATTCTCCAGAAGCTAACGGCGGCCGTAATAACGGCGATCCATGTCCAGACATTATTAACGACTGTAATGAAACCGAAGCTTAAGTAATTGAAAGCAAGAGCTTCAAGCGGAGATTCCATTGCATTCATAATAAATTTTCTTTGAAACTTTTCCTTTTTCTTTTTCTCTTAATTAGGAAAGTGGAGTGTAATGTAGGGAATATATATGGGAATTGGGTGATAAATATGAGCCGTCGGATTCAAGAGGAAGAGGGAAATCAGAGAAGCATCTGAAATTAGATGCCGAGAATCGTGGGCGAAGATGCTAAGGTAGATCCAAATATTATATATATTTGGCTGCAAGTGGAGATCTAACGGCGTATTATCACTTTTAGTTCGTACCAGAAACTATTTATATTTGGTAGACGAAAAATATATAAAATTTATATATAGCATACATAATGTGTATATATATATATATAAAAATACACAAATTTTATACATTTTTTCGGCTATTACTTTACCACGGATAATTTTTCCATTTGTAACCACACAGGCTTAAAGATTAGAATTTTTCACCCTTAATTAAGATATTACATTATAGTTTTGAAAATGTGAATTAAATAATTAACAAACGTAATAAATTTCAGTACCAAATAATTAAATGAAAAAATAGAAATATTTGGATGCACGTAAACAACCTCCCCCCGTATAATTTGTTTTATAAATACTCGATGTATTTAATTTCTATCAAATTATTAAATGGATAGTATGTGTATAAATAAATTTATATCTTCTAACAATAATTAATTAACAAATAATCGTATTTTAATTTTCAATCATCAAAACTAGTTACTTGTTTTGATATGAAATATTGAGTACCGCTACACATGTTTTCCTTTTATTTACCATTACGTAAAACCTGATTCTCACGGAACAGCGAGAGATTTCACTTTCCTTGGTGGTTCTTCACGTTTTCCTCACATCGTGTAGGAAATGCTATTGGCCTACATTCCATTTCTTTTTTCCTACTGTAGTGATCGAAATTGGGAATTGATAATAAATCCTGTAGTTTCTTTTTACGGAATAAGATAAGCTAAATAATTTCAAACAACTAAAAATATATAAGTTGGAGAAAGCCACCTTTTTTTTTTTTTTGGGTTTCCATTGGTTTTGTGTCCGATTTATTCAGATTTATATCCAAAAATCCTATCTATAGGGGTAATTTGCTCCCTATTAAGGACTTGAGCTCAAACCTGAGGCCTTTAGTTATAGACAGAGAAATTTATCGTTCCACCACATTTATAGTGGTGAAAAAGCAAGTTTTCCAGTTTTTAATTTTTTCTTCTTTTTTTGTTAAAGAAATTGTTAATCAATCTGTATTACTATAATAAATAATGAAACAGTAGATTTTCAGAAACAGAAAATTAGCAGCAAAAGAATGTCGAAATAATGAAGTTGAATCTGAAAAATAATTTCGGAATAAAATCGAGCCTACTGAATGCACAGTGTGTCCTTAAGAAAATTATTTCGCTCAAGTACCCGCAGTGTTGGAATATTGATCACGCCCAACTATGCTTTATAAAAGGACACGCGGACGTTGGAAATATAACCTGAGTATTTAAGCCAAGAGTCGAATCCACATAGAATTAACCTATCAATTACCTTTGTTGGAATCACTAAATTCTTTATAATCAACTTCCCCAAATGTTGTAAACAATAGTTGATGGTATCTCTACTACTAAGATTGAAAATAAATAAATAAACAGCTGTAAATTAAATATGCTTGGGTTGTAAACAATAATGAGAAGGTTCTAAGGTAGTGATTTCCCCTATTGATGGAATCCCTTCCAGTTATGTTTCATATAGATTCACCAAAACATCTCTATCAATCATGAGCACTCTTTTTACCGTAAATCTCTCCCGAGTAATCGCGATAATTTACTACACGCACTCTCCCGAGATACGCTAGCTGACTTTGTTTATTACAGCTCACTTTAGATTACACCCAAGGCTTCCTTATCCCTAATCCCGCCTTTAAACCCGCAGTTATAGATCCCTCTTATACTTTGGGAGTGGTGTTGTTCAACAATTACCTAAATATGCACTCTCTCCCGAGTTATGCACACTAAATAGGCACAGCTAATTGAGGATCCTGTCAATTAACTACAATAAACACGTAGTTGAACAAATAGAGATTAACTGGCAAACTATATTAACATAATCAAGAAGTTCATCCTTCAATAGGTTCCATCAAAACCTTAGACTAAAGTATTTAGCTACTCAGAACAACGTAAAGATAAACTACGAAAATATTCATCATGGAAAAGTGCAAGAAAAAGAAGAAATAAAGAACTATGATGTTTTTGGGTGATCTCTCACACTTGTGTTTCTTGCAAAAGTAATCTTCAAAACAAATCTGCCCTAACGTGGCCGAATTCCTACTTCTTATAAGGGTTTTACACCAAGTTTTCCCGACTTGACACTTTAGTCCCTGGCTTTTCCGCGTTCTGCCGCGGTCCCACCGCAGTTACGCCAGGACCGCGGCCAAAGAGGTCCTCTGAATCTTTAATAATGTTCTGCCGCGGTCCTACTGCGGTTACGGTCTGACCGCAGCAGGCCAAGTTCAGCTTTGGTTTTGTCTCTTCGCTTGGTGCACTTCGTGGGCATTGTTTGATTGGCCTCCTTTTCTCCGTAATTGATCCCAAACGTGCTCCATCGACTTCTTTCATTGGATATAGCCTGCAAAGCATGAAAAGCACTAATCAGAGCATTTGGTTATCACTTTTTACCACAAAGCTATACAAAAATATGGTTCTTTAGGGTCCAATTATAGTCTAATTCACCTATTATCAAATATTATCCTCCCAAGATAGAACGATTTAACTCACCAAAGTGTTGGAACCAAAAATGCCGGTAAAACAGCGAACCACTCGAAGGCTATAAACCACACTAGAATTTTGATTGTGCAGAAGAAGGAAAGATTCTAGGATCAAGGTATATTTATAGCCATTTTCTAGCACTATTTCTGCAACCTTTTAGAAACAGCCATCGCTGTTGGAATGGGGGGGGGGGGGGGGAGGCGATTCCCATTTAAAATATTCTGAAAAATTAGTTTAAAATAATCCGGGAAAGAAATGGACCGGGTCGCGTCGCGGGTCTTGGATTATTCCGGGTTCAATTTTTGTTAATTAATTAAATAATTGGAAAAAAATTTATCCAAAAAGATTAATCAATCAATCTTTGACCAAATCCGAAGCCGAAGCCGAGCGAGCGATGACGACGACTACGTGAGGCTTACTTTCTTTCCAACCAATTTAACACCAAGAGAAGTGATTTCTCAATATAAGCACATTCACTTTTCTTCCACTACCAATGAGGGACACTTGTTCTTTCCAAAGCAAAAGGGAGCCCACTTTCCCTCTATTTTCTTCCCTCCATTTTCCATTCACCAATCTTTTAATCCCAATAATCCCCCACATGAATGGGGAATGACTATAAGACAAAGGAATGCACAGACGAGTGTGTGATTTACATGCAAGGATTAATTGCATCTGGATAAGTAGGTTTCACTTTGAACTTTCCGTAGTGAACTTATATTGGATATACTTGGTCAATCGGTAGATTTAATATCTTTGAACCGTCGAACTTTGTTGTATACCTAGACAACATAAGTCACACAATCAACCCTTAACCATATTTGATTCTCACGGTTGTGTTCGTTTTATCCATGAACACCGCCTGGTTTCATGAGTGCTTAGAGAATGGGCCTTTATTTTCATTCCCCTTGAAACGACTTACACTTCACACTCACATAGGTGATTTCTAAACGTGTAATCCTATAGACACACTATCTGGTCATTTCCAGCAAGACTTAGCAAATCATAAAAAGCTTTAAGTTTTATTGACTCATAAAAAATCCTTAATGCTTTACCCTGATTTTTGAACATTGTCTTCATCATGAGAATGATTTGAGAAATAATATTGAACCATCGATCATAACTTTATTTGATCTCTTTGAACCTAGCGCTTGGGATCTCCAGTCTGCTAGGTAGAGTTACCGCTATGATGACTTTCCTAGGCCTTAATCCCATTCCCTTCGATGATCTTTCAACTACCTCTCTAGATAGGCCTTTTGTAAGTAGATCCGACACATTATCTCTTGACTTTACGTAGTCAATCGCGATTATGCCACTAGAGAGTAGTAGTCTAATAGTATTGTGTCTCCGTCGTATGTGACGAGATTTTCTGTTATACATAACGCTCCCCATCCTGCCTATTGTTTCTTAACTATCACAATGTGTGCATATGGGTACCAATGGTTTGCGCCAAAATGGAATATCTTTCAAAAAATTCGGAAGTCATTCAGCTTCTTTACCGGCCTTATCTAAAGCTATGAATTCAGATTCCATTGTAGATCGGGCAATGTATGTTTTTTTGGATGATTACCAAGATACTGCTCCACCCCCAATTATGAAAACATATCCACTTGCATATTTAACTTAAGAAGATCCGCTAATCCAATTTGCATCACTATATCCCTCGACTACGGAGGGATATTTGTTATAATGCAGAGCATCATCTTGGGTATGTTTCAGATAACCCAAAACTCGTTTCATTGCCATACAATGTATTTGATTGGGATTACTTGTAAACCAACTCAGTTTGCTAATAGCACATGCTATATCTGGTCGTGTACAATTCATGATATACATCAAACTTCCCAATACTCTTTCATAGTCCAGTTGTGAGTCACTTTCAGCTTCATTCTTTTGAAGTGCATAACTCACGTCAATTGAAGTCTTGGCAATCTTGAAATCCAAATACTTGAACTTGTCGAGTACTTTCTCAATGTAGTGAGACTGTGATAATGCTAGACCTTGTGGAGTCTTGTGAATTTTGATTCCTAAGATCACATCAGCAACTCCTAAGTCCTTCATGTCGAATTTGCTAGCTAGCATACGCTTAGTAGCATTTATATCTGCCATATTTTTGCTCATTATCAATATGTCATCAACATATAAACAAACGATTACTTCATGACCTGGAGTATTTTTAATGTAAACACATTTGTCACACTCGTTTATTTTAAACCCACCTGCCAATATTGTTTGGTCAAAATTGGCATACCATTGTTTGGGTACTTGTTTAAGTCCATAAAGCGACTTAACAAGTTTGCACACTTTCTTTTCTTTACCCGGAACCAGAAAACCCTTAGGTTGTTCCATGTAAATTTTTTCCTCCAATTCTCCATTTAAGAAAGATGTTTTAACATCCATTTGATGGATTTCAAGACTATACACGACCGTCAACGCCACTAACACCCTAATAGATGTTAATCTTATTACTGGCGAGTAAATGTGTAAGTAA